AGTTATCAGGAATAACAGTTGAGCATATGCACTTATGTTCAACCACCTAATGTACCTTTGGTAACAAAATAGCAGCAGCAGCAGCACATTTTAAGTAAGTTAGCATAACAGGGAGTTCCTCTAGTAGCAAGGCAGACCAGTGCCCAGCAGGCTAGGCTGGACAAAACACCTAGGATGTGCCACGACGGGTTGTGGACTATACGGATGTCTAGGGCAACAAACACAAAGCACTAGTATATGATTCAATCATGCATCGACCGCATAGCTAGCATCATTGTATAGTTATTTTCATTTTCTCATTTTCACAAGTGAACAAGGATCAATAACAGTAGCTGACATAGGTCAATTGTACAGCTGCTTTGATCAGAAAACGTACCACTCTTTAGCAGACAGCCTACACAGATTGTCATTTTAATTGCACCTCCTCTTTTTTTTTAAAAAAAAAAATGCTAATCTAATCCTACAATGGCACTGTTTGGGACCGTGTTTCTCGCGGCGGTGGCCGAAAGAAGTGAAGTATCCCGCCAAAACGTTCGCGGTGTCCGTGATTCTTCCGACCGCACAAGAGACTACGACCGCAAGATTGAACTGCACTGCGGATTCCTGTTACCACGGCCATGGAGCCACAGTTCGGCTACCCGCACTGCGCGGCCACAGACCACGGTCCCAAACAGGGCCAATGTTGGATCTCGCAGATAAATAATATATGCAGCCATGTAGGTAGTTCAACAATTAGTACCACTATTGAAGACTTAATTAGCTGGAATAATGCTAACAAATTGTGTAAGTTTTTGACAATGGAAGATCCATACATTAGAATTATATATTATTATGTTTCCCCAGCATAAAATGGTGAGTGTAGTGCTACTATGTTAAATTTTGGTCTATGCTTCCAGTTCTTCATGCGAATTTAACTACTAAATCTAGAAACATCAGAACAGCCAAGCCAACCCCAAACCCCTAATAGTAGTTCTCCAACATGGGGTGCATCCAAATAACAGAAGTCAGCAAAGATGCATAGTACTCACAATTGGGCCATTTGCAACAGCATGATCTTTTGCAAATTTGCACGCTTGCTTCACAGCAAGAACATCCATTCCATCAACCTGCACGAAATACAATTTAGTTATATTTGTAGCAAACACTAAAAGTAATGCCAACATGAAATCCAAGCTTAAGCTATTCCCTTAACAGTCAAAGCTGGAGTTAACTCAATACGGGGGAACAGGATGGTTTGCGAATGCATACATCATTCTTATATAATTGCAAATCAATACAAGGTGCTTTTTCCACTCAACTGCATACCATCCTCACTCAACTGTATGCCTATACTTTGATCAATGAACAAGCCCTATTCAGCAACTAAAGGGTGCAACACAGAGAACCTAGAGTCCAAGGCCCCATATAAAACCACCCTAAACAATCAAGCATATCACAAACATAATAAACAATCAAACATACCACAAACAGAAACCAAATTTATCATACCAGCCAGCTATCGTGAATTCAGACACAATACAAGCAAACCCAAAGAATAATTACCTTCAATCCAGGCACATAGTCGCCACGCTTGTAGTAGGCGGGGCTCTTCGCTGCCCTCCACTCCGCTGTTCCCATCCCATCTATACAACAGAAATCAAAACCCAGATCACGTCATATTTCTCACGATGAACAATCAGATTTATCACGATCTAACCCTGATTCCCGGAATTGACGCACGAACTCACAATGGTTGTTCTCGCAGACCAATATGGCAGGCAGCTTCCAGAGGGCCGAAATGTTGAGAGCCTCAAAGAGCTGTCCCTGGTTAGCCGCACCGTCACCATAGAGCGCGAACGTGGCCGTGTCCTCCTTCTTGTACTTTTGAGCGAAGGCGAGGCCGCATCCGAGGGGCACCTGCGCGCCGACGATGCCGTGCCCGCCGTAGAAATTGGCATCCTTCTTATAGAAATGCATGGATCCGCCCTTCCCGCGGGAGCAGCCGGCCTCGCGGCCCATCAGCTCGGAGAAGGCGGAGACGAGGTCCCCTCCGCGGGCGAGGTAGATACAGTGGTCGCGGTAGGCGGTGATGATGGAATCGGAGCGGGTGATGGCGGCCTCCATGCCGACGGCGACGGCCTCCTGGCCGTCGTAGAGGTGGCAGAACCCGCGGATAAGCTTGGCCTTGTAGAGGGAGTCGGCGGCGATCTCCATGCGGCGCATGAGGGACATGTCGCGGAAGAAGGTGACGAGCTCGGCTGGGGTGGTGGTGACATCGCGCGATGGCGGGTCGACGAGGTGGGAGGTGAAAGGGACAGATGTCTCGATGGTGAGCGCGGCCGTGGAATCGGAGATCGAGCGCGCCGCCACGAAGACCGTGGGCGGGGCCCGCGCGGCGGGGATGCGGCGAAGGAGGGCGGCCGCGGCCATGGCGACGATCCGCTAGGGTTTGGGGTGGATGCGGGGCCGTGGGCGTGGGGAGGGAGGGAAGGAAGGAAGGAAGGAAGAAGATAGACGCGAGATTTATTCGCGTAATTGTTGCATTCTTAAGGGATTCGACGAAAAAACGGTCTCACCCGTAACACTGTTCCGGGCGGAAAAACACATAAGGCCACGTTTAGTTGGTGCCTGATTCGGCGCCGCCCGATGAAGGTACTGTAGCTACAGTATATTTTGTTTTTATTTGATAATAATTGTTCAAATATTGACTAATTATACTCAAAACGTTCGTCTCGTAAAGTATAGTATATTTTGTTTTTATTTGATAATAATTGTTCAAATATTGACTAATTAGACTCAAAACGTTCGTCTCGTAAAGTACAACTAAACTGTGCAATTAGTTTTTAATTTCGTCAACATTTAGTACTTCATACATATACCGCAAATTTGATGTGACGAAGAATCTTCTTTTTATATAGTACCAAATTTGATAATTTGGTGGAACTAAACAGCCCCTAAGACAAGCAACATGGTTGTGTTTGGCCTGCCGTCGCTGGGCTTGGCAGGCTAGCGGCGCAGACCGCGATTGCCCCCGTGCCGTCGTGCGCGATGCTGAAATTGGTTCGGTGAAAAAAACGCAACTATGGATTCGTGCCAGAAAAGTTGTTCACATTTAATTAAATTTTTAGTGAATAATATTCATATTTATAGCTTTAAATTAATATTTATAAAAAATACATTTCGTAATTAATCTGATAATATTTATTTTGTATCATAAACATAGATATTTTTTATCTATAATTGATCAAAACTTAGGTAGTAAAACGTGATACTATACTAGAATTGTATTTTTTTGGGGATGGATGTAGTATATATAATAAAGTACATATATATTATAGTAATGCACCCCTAATAGATTTGCAATATGGTTAAACAAATGACACACGACAATTGACAATAGGCTTTTGTTTGGAGAACAAGTGCATCTGATTGACCTTTCAATATCAATTTCCTGTGGTATCTGATCTCCACAAGTTTTCTCGATTATAAAAACATGGCCTAGTTGGCAGAATTATGTTTGAAGCAAGACAATGTACCGTTTTTTTCTCTTCTTTTTCACTCATGGAAAATTAGTAGTGTATGGAAAATTACATGCAGAATTAGTTACCGCATCTGCAAGTAGATTAGAACTTTCTTATTTGCACAAAGATCTAAAATTTACTAAGGGCCAAACCAAATTAATTTGGTATCAAGTTGTAGCAAGACAACAGCTTTGTAGTCGAGATGCTCTCCATAATCCAAGCAAAGGCCCTGTTCGCTTCATTGTTGAAAAAAGCAATAGAAATATTATTTCGATTTGATTTGTTGTGAGAGAAAAACACTATCCGGCTTAAAAAAGCAAAATTTGAAAAGACGGATTATAAGACAAGCGATCGTAACAAGCGAACTAAATTTGAAAAGTACGGATTAAAAACAAGCCGAAAATCATGAATGGTTGGTGGATATAGTGTTCCTGTCGGCTGTCGATGACGTTGGGGGAATATTTGGTTAAAATTATTATTAGGTAGACAAACCAAAAGACAAGTAGCCAACTAAACATCTTTATTCAAAACAACCCAAGCAATGGCGAGGAGCCAATCCCTTGGAACACTGTCTCAATCAACCATCCTTTTCAAGCGTTGTATAGCGCTCGGTGGGTCAAAGCATCTTAGCGCATGATAGTGATAGAGCGTTGGAGTACTATTTTGGTCAGATCCATTTACTCAAAATAACAGAGTTTTTCTTTTTTGTATGAACTGGTCACCATCAATTGCTTTCAGGTTACAATATAAACAAGTGTTTCAGGCCCCAGAAACTGTGATCCCAATATCTTGGTTGTATGGGCTGTCCTTACATCATCTGGATACAATTAAGGCAAGACGATTGGGCTGTCTTTGCATAATCTGAATACAGGCCAGGCCAGAGACTTTCACCCTGTTTGCTTGTTGATTTCAGCCAGGCTTATTCAACCAGCCAACAGTGTTTTTCTCTCACAAAAATTCAGCACCAGCCAGCCCAAATCAGCCCAGATACCAACCAGCGAACATGCCGTTTCTCTGTTTTGTAGCGTCTGAATTGTAGCAAGAATTATGATCACAGCAAAAAGGAAAGAATGAATAACATTTGTGTGATTGTATCTGAATTGTAATTTGAATACAATTGTTTTTTTTGTCGTGATAGATATGTGCAAGATATACTTCATCATTATGAGAAGTTTCATCAGCATGGCCGGTGACAGACAGAAAGTTTTAGAACCCACATAGGTAAGCACATAAACAACAATTAACAATAAAAAGCCCACAGGTGAGATGATAATGATGTTTCTATTAGAGAGATTGGGAAACAGCTCACACCCCTAGGGCATCTCTCTAAATAGTTCCACTCTAGTTTTCCACCTGAAATAGCCTAAAGACATCCTGCATTGAGTAAATACAATGAACCTAGGCCCAATCATGTCTTTGTTTCCTCCCCTTTTAACAGATTGTACAGGTAAAATACACAAGCGTGCACTAAGAACTGCAATGCTTGACCCTATATTTTGCCTACAAAAAATGGTTAACAGAATGGCCAAAGTGTTGTTGCATGATGTTGCTGCCTTGAGCAAATTCAGAATACCATGTCTTCCACGCTTCGACATAATGGGCAAAAAGATCACCGAGTGCTGCATTCAGAAAAGAGGGAATGCTTTAGTGCAACATATAGCTGAGCAAATTCTATATCTAGCAATTATTCCAGTCCTACTTCAAACTCCCAATAAAAGAGGTTGCATAGACGTGATAATAAATGTCAAATGATCATAATGAACTATTGGGCATTGGCTAGCGTCCTGCATAATAGCTTATAAAAATCAACAAATCTCATATTAGCTTCTAACAAATAGAAGATCATGATGTTACACTAGAGATGTGTTGCAGTGTTCCTGAGGTCATATTTCATTTTCAGACTTTCTAGCTGACTGGTTGCAACAGGGGCTATCAAAGCTAACATGAAGAAACAGGATGGGCAGAGAGATTCCATCTGAAGACCATCAGATGCCACTATTAGCTTATGCCTATTATATAAAACTACAGCTAGAGAGACACACTATACACATACTTCTGATGCTTAAGAAGTAGAAAAATTCTAGCATTGTCCTAAGAAACAAAACAGGATTAAAGTATTGAACCCACCTTGGTTCTGGTACTGTGGTCGAAATGAAGCAGAAAGGCTCTCCCAGTCCTGAGCCCTCTCCCTTTGCCCAGGTTTATTGCCGCCATCAAGTTCATGTTTCCTTGCACCAGCAGGGTGGAAAGGACCATAAACAAAGCCACTTTGTTTAACCTGCCCAAGCTGACTCCGCACAGCTAATTTGCAATTTGTCAAGACATCACCACCACTCTGTGCCAGTTTTGCTTTCTTCTGAATTTTTGAATCTAGATTACTTCTATGTATGTCAATGTTAGTGAGTTCAGTTCCAAATGCTCTTTTGTTCGATGTGGTCTTCCCTGGTGGGGGTACAGCAACTGTGACACCATTTTCAGTGTTCGGCATTGTGGCCCTACCCAACCCAACCAACGAAACGCAGGCTTTCTCGAGTCCCCTTGCTGTATCTGGAATCCACAGTTCAAGAATGTATGTTAAGAAACATGCTACTACCAGATTGCAACTTAATCGTCAGCAAGCATCAAAAGCCTACCTTCTCAATAAGATTCAGTGAAGACAAGACATTGGCAATGTCATATAACCTCCGAACTTTAGCTGCATTACCAATTAAATATCAAGATTAAATTAAGTTTTATTAGTCCTGATAGTGCTACTGCTGCACGTTTAGAGAAAGACAAAATGAAAGTACTGACTTCTCATATTGGTCTCCTCGTGGCCTTCTCCAAGGAGCAGCTTTGCAGCTTCATCAAGTGAGATCGTGTCAACCTGCTCCAGGTATAGATTTCATATCAATGGACTGGTCATGCATGAATCTTCAGGCAGAAATAGAGTTCAAGAATTTCTCACCTCCATGGTGAGGAAGAGCTTCACGAAATTCTGTGTAAGCAACCCAAGTGACTTTTCTTTCCTATGATCTGAAAATGTAACAACCAAAATTCTGAGCCTGACAGACAAAATGGAACAGCACACACATGCTAAATCAAAATGAAGCAAATAGCAATATACCAGATCGAAGGCGGCAACGGGGTGCACCAGGTTTGTCAGAAGGATTGTCCAGAGTCTGACTCAGTTTCTCGTTCTCGATATCAGCACCAGGATTGCCCAATGTATCATCATCTTCGTCATCAGAAATCTTCGCAAAAGAACAAAGGAGAAGAAACACTTCAGTAGGAACTAATCCCCATGTCCAAAAAAGAACGCAACTCTAGTATATTACCAAGTCAAACCATTTTAAATTTGACCAAATGCATACAAAAAACATCAATATTTTATGATACCAAATAAGTGTCGTTAGATTCAATCATAGAACGTGTTTCATAGTATACCTATCTTGTGTCATAGTATACCTATCTTTGGTCAAATTTTGGATAGTTTGACTAGAGGCAGACATAGAACTGCATCTTTTTTTAGGACGAAGGCAGTACAAATTGTTGTGGACCAGAATCAGATACATCGGTTCAAATGGAAGGGAAAGATAAGAAGTCGTACAATGCCAGCAGATTGCTGCTCGTTTTGCAGAGGAGCCAAGCCAGACTTCTCTCTTAACGCCCTTTCCTGAGAAGACGAGAGATGACGGGTTAGATGGATGAGATCTACAGTTCTTGATCGAAATATCACGCAGGGGACTAGACGCAGACCTTGAGTTCTCGCAAGGCCATTGGGACTCCGCCGAAACCTATCCAGGTGTAGCGATTTTTGGCTTTCCTCACAAGAATCTTCTCACAAGGGGAATTGAATCAGAACTAGAATCATACTTCATATCCCGAACAGACCGCACAAGAAATCAAGAATTGTGTCCCGGAAAGGCAGAAGAAGAAAGAAAGAACTAACCCCAACGCTCTCGAGCACGTTGACAATGTCGTAGATCCGGCGCCTCTCCACGCCGAGGCATTTGGCCGCTTCGTCCAGCCCGATGAACTCCACGTCGTCGCGGTTGTAGAGAACCACGAAGCTAAAAGCAGCACGGAGAATTTGGGTCAGAACAGCAAAGAGAACTCAGGAGCTAGAAATCTCCAGACGCGTCGAGGCTGCAAGAGGCTCACTTGGAGCAGAGGAGGCCGAGCGACTTGTCCTTGCGGCTGTAAGCGTGGTGGCGGCCATTGGCGCCACCGCCGCCGCCCCCCGCGTGCATCGGCCGCGGCCGTGGCCGCGCCTGCTGCCGCTGCTGCTGCTCCTGCGGCAAAGCTGACGCCATCGCCGCCGCCGCAGCAGCGGCCACCGCTACCTCGGCGACGGAAGAGGGGGACGCCGACATCGCCGTTGCCCGTTGCCGAGGCCCGCGAGGAATTCGCAGGGTTTGAGTTCGCGTGGTGCGGTGCGGGGCTCGGGAGAGGAGGGAATTCCTGGGAGTATTATAGGTGGACGGATCTGATTTGTAGGAGGGAGGAGGGAGGAGGCGCGGCGCCGGCCGTCGAATGGAATCTGGAGGGCTTGATTTGGCGCGGTGGTGGCGGCCTCGCTCGCGTTTCAAAATTTTCTCTGTCCGCTCCCGTGCGGCTGCGGCCGTTTCGCCTGAGGTCGGCTCGGCGTGGCTCGCAGGCGCAAGGTGGGGAAGGGTGAGCCGTGCCCGTGCGTGCCGTGCGTGGGGGCTCTGTTGCCTAATGCCTTGGCCAGTTTGAATTGAAATTTAAGCGGCTCACGCGCGCGGGTGAGCCGAGGGGAGGAGCGGGTGACCGGCCCGGCCCGGGCCGGGGTTGCCTGTGCGCGGAAGCGACGAAAAAATTACGACAGCTCGATGACAACGTGTCTACGAATCTGAGTCCAGCATTAAACCTATAAACGACCGATATTTCGAGTCTTATTTTTGCAAATCGCCTGGAAGCGACAGTAGGATTCAGAAGTTTTTTGCGCGGTTGGGCGATTTTCTTCGGCTCATCACGGCGGGCGTGCGCGTCTCGATGGGATCTCGTTTAGGGGAACGGCACGTGGAGGAGGAGGCGTTGAAGCGCGGAGGGAACAGGTGATGAGGACATCCCTTCCATTGATACAACCACGCCTGCTGCACAACAAGGTCCGATGACAAGAGCTCGAACACGACAACTTAATTATCAGGTAAAGTTGTTCCTCGCTGTTCATACAAACTCGTCTCAGAATTGGATGCTACTAAATCATGGTGATGATTGTCTTATTCTTATGAATGTTGGTCAAGACCCCATTGTCTCATGTTTAAACCCCATGATGATGATGGAGCAGCCGAACAAGTGGGAATCATCATTAATGGGGCGCTCAGCTCATCTGAGACAGCAGGAAACACTCCATAAAAAATACCATAACCTCTTGATACGAGATCAATGAAGTTAGTTTTTGACTTGTTGGAAAGAGCTCGTCGTCCTCTTTCAGATGGGTCCAACCCCACTATCATAATCTACCGAAGCTGTGCGCAGCAAGTAAAAGGATACACAGACCTACAGCTTGAGCCTGAGCCTTGTACTGACTAGAGCCCATTGAAGGACGCTCAGATTATGGTTTCCCACTCCCCTTGTGTTCTCCTCCTTATAAATAAAACTAACAGCCATCAGAATGAGGGTGGGTTTTGTTTAGATGTAAGATAGTTGCTGCTTATTCCTTGTAAACGCGTGTGTCGGCTAGACCACCCGATTTGCTTGTTTCAAGACCCTGATTCAGATTCAGCCTTTGGCTTAAATCCGTGAGTTATTTGCTGGTTCATCTTGTTCTTGCTTGTTCTCGGTTGCTTGCAGGTTCATGGTGTTCTTGGCACGGCAAGAACATCACAATCGGAGCCAGTGTCCCTGTTGCTAAGGCGCAGCAACCTTGTGGTCGTTGTAGTCGGACAGCCAACGTCGAATCCACCCCAAATCGAATTTATCCACACTCACCAAGAGATCAGGAACAACCCCTTGTCTCATCAACAGGTGTGCCACGTGAGCTCGTGACGGTTGGCTGTTTGGCTTCAGCGATCCGCGCCGTCGCGCGCCCGGGCCAAATCACGTACTCACTCCGTTAAATCGTTTTTTTTACGGAGGGAGTGCTTGTGATTCACTGGATTGCATCCTCCTCTCCGAATGATTGAATCGCAGTTCTAGTGTCGTTGCAGGCGTTTCCGCCTGCTGCTGGTTACCGTGCCGTCAGGCGTCGGCGTCACCTCGACAGGATAGGCAAAGGGGCAGCAATTTGAATCCTGAAGTTCTGAACCCGCCTCATTCAGGGCATGACATTTATCTGCACTTCAGTCATAGTTGGCCATGCAGCCCGAGCCCGTCGGCCCGGCCCAAAGCCCATTTTTTGCCCGGCCCAAGCACGGCCCCGCCCGACGGCTAGCGGGACCGGGCTGGCCCAGCCTGGAGGAGCAGGCCGTGCCTGGGCCTTACCCCAGGCACGTGGGCCCGCACGACATGGCCCGCTCCTGTACCACAGGCCTGCTGGCGGCCCCGCCTGCCATAGTGCCACCGGCTGGCCCCCTCCCTAACCCTAACACCCCGTTCCCCAAATCCCAATCCCCACACCCACACGCGGGCGCAGCCACAGCCCCTCGGCCCTCGCTCCCTCCCCGAGTCGTCGGCCTCCACTCCTCGCCCCTCCCCAAGGCCGGCCTCCACTCCTCCCCCCGCCTCCGAGCCTCCCAGCGCTCTCATCCTCGGTCGCCGCCGGAGCTCAAGGCCGGCTGGGTCTTTCCCCTTCTCCTCCCTCCTCTCTCTCTCCGAATTCGTCACCAGCCATGCCCGAATCCGTCGTCCCCTTGGCCGGATCCGGCCTGTCGGCACATAGATATGTGGTGCCATGGCGGGAGGCGGCTGCGGTAGCACGGTGGTGCGGTGGCGGGGCTATGGTGCAGCGGCAGCGCGCGCGGCGGTGCAGGCTACTCCGGTGGCCCTACTGCGCCGTCCGTGGCCCAGCTGCTCCGGTGGCCGTAGCTCATGGAGTTGCAGGCGGCATCGAGGCCGGTGCCGCGCGGGACGCCCCTTCCTCCCCTCGGCCCTCGCGCATGGCCGCCGATGCCGCGCCCCCACGCGGACGCCCCCTCCCCGCCTCCACTCCGACGGCTCGTGCTTCCTCCCCTTCCCCCTCTCTCTGGCTGCTCGCGCTTCATCGTGGGCCCGGGCTGACCCGGCACGCTGGACTAACCGTGCTTCTCGGACCGACCTGGCCCGATAAACGGCCCAGCAGGCCGTGCCTGGGCCGTAGGTCAAGCACGGTGCCCGCCTCGGCACGACGTGCCGTGTCGGCCCGAACCCCATCAGGCCGTGCCTGGCACGGGCCCTGCCCGGGCCGGCCCGTTGGACATCTATAACTTCAGTTCTTCAGCTGTTCAGCAAGGAGCGTGCGTCGTTCGCTCTTTTGCGCAACTCCAGATCTGGAATGGACCGGCCCATCAGTACTATGGCATGTCCATGCGGCCGCTTTCTACACCTCCATCCCTTATTGGACCGTATCGACGGGCCTAGTCATGTCCGAACTTCGAAATTGACATTTGTCTACCAGTTACTCCCTCCGCTCTAACGTAGAGGTCTTCCTGCCCGTGGAATATAGAGAAGGGTGTTTAGATGTTTGTACATCGACTTGGGTCAGAGTTGGAAATAGGATGATGTGAATTGCTGGTTAGTGGTTACTGTAGATAGAACTATTGCAGCCGCGGCTCCTTTAGGCACCGTTCGGTTATTGGGAAATAGTGCACTGGAATGATTCCGGCCAGGAACTAGTCTAATTTATATAAGCGTGGATGAGCAGAAACGATTCCTGGGCAGGAATCGGATAACCGAACGAGCCCTTAAGCAGAAGCGAACACACATTTGGCCTTGGTTCTGGTGTTTTTCTTGTTCTGTAATAGGCGTTTTCGTGTTCTTGTCTTGGTTTTGGTTTTTTTTTCTTGTCCTCTAATAGGCGATTTTATGTTTGGAATTCTGTTGCGAGTGTGTCTTTCGTCAGAGTTTCTTCCACCCTCTTATTTTTCTTCTTAATACTCAAAGAAAAAAGGCACACTTTGGAATCATGCTAAAGAAAAGCTCGCGAACATAGAAGCGCTTTTATCCGCCCTATTTACAAGACGCATCCATAGTTCCGTAGGATAGTGATACATTGTGATTACGTTCTATCAGAAAACTAGTTGTTTCTCTAGTTACGAAACGACAAACACAGTGGTCGTTCTCATGCCAAACCCAGCGTAGTCCAGGACTCCAGGGGGGCCTTGCGTGATTGCGTCGGTGACAAGAGAGGCTGTCTGATAAAGAAGCCTCCCTGGCGATCCACCTCAAGATGTGAATACAGCTCCCGGGAGCAGCATAGCATAGTACTCAAACGGTTAGCTTTAGAGTGACTCCCATAGAGCCATAGTTCACGCGCACACCATGCGCTCTGATGGAGGAAAAGCTTCCAAAAATGACAACGCCCATTCCTTAGAAAAAAAAAGGCTGCAGTGGAGAAGAGAACTACAGCCGCCTCCATGATAATAAGCAAACTCGACCAGCTCACACTTGGAACAGAATGTCTTGATCATGCCTAACTCATCCTGAGTAAATTAGGTATGAAGATATTAGGTACCAAGTAGTTGAGAGGAAAAGAATTATGTTATGGAAATATATATTGCAAATGTAAATGTAGGTTGGTGGGAAATGAGAGGGAAGCCCCACCTGTCTTAAAAGAGAAAGATACTCAAAGATGCATTGCATATTAAGAATTAAGAATTAAGATGGACATCATAGCTTTAAAATCATACCAATGTATTAAGTATGAAAAGTACTACCTTTATGTTGCATTGTTATTGTCAGCTTCTAAGTTCAGTAATCTATTATTTGGGAATATCTGATTGTCCTAACAACCGTATCTTCTGCAACTGAACTATATGTATACAGAAAAAGATTACCAGAATTTTCATTAACAAAGAATTACCTTGACTTCTGTAAAGTTGTATCCTTCTTCCTGCCTTCTTGAGTAACCATTGTTTTCCCTACAGATGAAATGTTTGGCTCGGCTAATGGGTTTGTGACAAACCCACCCTGAAGCCCAAACTTCTGTCTCTCCCATTTGTAAGAAGTTCTGCTCTCGTCTGAGCTGTTTGCTGGGTCTGAGGCAGAAAACCTTGAGGAAGACCTACCACCATTGTGCCTTCTCCAGAATTTTGGGCTCAGAATGCAGCATGTCTTTACATCAGGCTCCCTGTTTGACATCCTTCCTGAAGAGAAGGCCAAATCACGAGAGATCTCATCCAAAGCCATCTCCAGCCCATGCACCCTTGTCTCCAAAGAATTCATACCATTCTCAGACTTCCCCATAAATTTCTGATAAACAAAAGGGATAATA